GAATCTTGAATAAATTAATTATCCGACGGGTTGATCGACTTAGCCGCGGCCAATCGTGTCCCGGGTTTTTATTCGGGCCGGATTACGGATCGACCGAAGAAATTCGAGTGTATCCAGGAGTCCGTATGATTTTTCCCGTTCGCCAAAGGGTGGGGGAGAAACGGCAGCACGTACACCCCGGTGAGTTCGATTCCACGAGTTCGTTCGCGGGACAGGGTTGCCGTACGGTCACTGGTGATTAATGATCAGGCCAATCAGATATAGTTGGTCGGCCGAGTTGGAAGAGAGGCGAGCGTTGCGTCGGCTGAATCGAACAGGGACGCGAGGCATCGTGGCTCGCGAGTCACGGAAAAGGATGAAACTCGACGCGGAACGAGGAGAGAGGACCGCGGTTGATATGTTGCGCTGTCACTGCGTTGTACCTGCGCCGGTGCCCGTTGCTTGGATTGTAATATTGTATTGTACTGTTTGTTGGCCCCGGTGTTCCACGACCGTCTGCGCGCTCGACAGCCTGTCCAAATACCGCCACCGAGTTCGACGTGTACGTAACCCGGAGGATGAAACTCTCTCTCTCTCTCCCTCTCTCTTTGCCCCTGAACAGCAGAGCCGCCGCCTCTGGCCGCCGCCCGCGTTCCGTGTTTACCGGTGTTACATCCGCGATAAGGACCACCCTCTCGTACTCGAATATATTATGCCGGACGAAACGTGCAGCAGCGACCGGTCGTGAAACTGCTTCCTCAACAAATTCATAGAACTTCCGTAAAGGTTCGTCTTCCGTAGAGTATTCATAAAAATGAATCTCTCGATGACGGGGTGCATCGATCTCGAATCTCACGGGTGCATCAGAAGCATCTTTCAGCCGGAGCTTCGGTTTTTGCCCCGGCTTCAGCAGCGTATAATCTCGCTGGTTATTAATGGCGATGGTTTGGGAAACTGCTACCGGGCAGGCTGGCTCTCTCGCCCGTCGTATCTCGCTCGTTCCCTCTCGCTTTATTCTTTAAATCTCCCTCTCATCTTTTTATTCTCCGCTTGTACTCCGCTACTGCTCCTCCTCCTACCGTTGCCACTTACCTCATACCCGTTCGCAAAACTGCATTCCGCGCGTTGTTAGGGCTCGCCCACCGAAAACTTGCCAGCCCGCGATCCTAAGCGCGTCGCTTTAATTGCCTGTCTATGCTTCACGCAGTTCTTCTTTCGTAATTGTTTCTTTGCCAGGCTCCTTAATTATCAGCTCAAGCTCCGTTTATGTTACCAATACAAATTCAGTAAATGTTCAAAGTCGATCTTCTGCAAGTTTAACGCCACGGAAAATTGCTATCGGGATCGTGAATCGACGAATGGAGAGAGGAACGATAACTGAAGTCTACGAAAATGACCCGACTACGGTAGATATAAAAGAGCACGGGGAAGTTCATTTAACAGGCCGTAAAACTGAAGCGGTGAGGGAAGGTGATCCTGTGGTGGATGTTTGCCAGAGGCATCAGCCGGTTTTGCGGCCCCGCAACCGGAAAGGGTGCCGAAGGATTTGGAATTGGGTGTCTAGAGTCGGGAGAGTAGGTTAGCAACGGCCGGGCTATCGGTGATCAAGCTCCGGGGTCGAATCCAAGGCTTATCTCGCCGAGGAAGGCTTACCGGCGCTTGATCGCCGACAGGAAGATGCTCCTCTTGCAGGACCATGGAATCCTCTCATCTTAACGCGTTACGTTTCTCCGAATACCCATTCTTCTGTGTAACAGAGTGGAAATTGAAAATGACTAATTTATGAAATGAAATTTACACAGGATTTTCATTTATCACTTAAAAATAATTATGTGAATTTTATTCCGTGCGTCTTTGGACATTGAACGCATATTGTCTTTATTAGTCGGGTAATAAAATTAAAATCGCAATGGTTACTTTTGATGAAATCACATTTAGAACGACGTGCGAAAGAATTAATTTCGCTCGCCGATCGCCGATAAAATCTCGCGGGAACCAGGTTGACGTGGTGTTCATATCGCGCCGAGAGGTAAAATCGGGACGAGATTACTCATTCTCGGCAAGTTGCCTTTACTGACTCGGTCGACGACTAACTGGCATTTTTCCCAGCGCGTGTGAACCCGTGCGTAGTCGTAATGCGTATCGAGGACTTGCGGTAAAACGCTTTTCTCCGCGGAGAGTAAAGAAGAAGAGAAGAAAAAAAAAAGAAGAAACGCGCTTCGAACGACGAATGGCCTTCCGCCTAGGCCAGGCCATTGTCGGTGGTCATGCGTAGCTCGTAAACGCGCCGCGCCGCGCCGTCGTCGAGGTTTCTAATGCCGCGAGAGCTCTCGAACTCCACGATGGCTCCGACGGTTTCACGATTCGAACGCTTCCGAGTTTTTTTTCTTCATTTTGTGGCTGGTGAATCGGGAACAGGCGCTTTCTTTCCGCGAGCGAGAATCCGCCCGGAATCGAAATAAAGGGAAACGTACCCACTCGAAGAGTCCTCGACCCGGTTCGAGAGATGGAAAACGGAGACGATACCGGCAGTCTAATGGGCTAGTTTGTTAGTCCGCGTATCCACTTGTAACATACCCTTGTATCATCGTTTCGTATCATTATAAACGGGCAACCGTGGCATCATCATTATCGATTAGAGAATCTGACATACATATATTCTATATTAATAGCTATTAAAAACTATTTCAGTTGAAACATTGTACTAAATGAAAAATATAGAATACGTAATGCAATAAGTACTTAACGTATGAGCGGGGGTGTATACATGCGTATACAGATGCATAGCTGTGGTACGGAACGATGATATGCAACTATAATACACAGTGGGGATATGCAACTGTGATACGCAGTGACGATACGAAACAAAGATACGATACAAGTACATATGCAGCTTAAGGGATCGACGGATCGATACTCGGTTCCGCGTTTCGAAGCTCGTAAAGAGGAGAGCGAATCCGCTTGAGTCTCGAAAGTGGCATTCCGCGTTACGCTCGCGAGTCACGAGGCATCCGTCGTTTCTATACGGCCGGTTCCGCGCTCGGGATAACTGATCCTCCTCTCGTTTCGACCGATCATTTTCTGGTTGGTACGCCCGCTGATTGACCGGCCACCGATTTTCCGGCCCGACTGCCACCAGACGTATCCTCTTCGCGCGATTTTCAGCGCATTCTTTTCCGCTACCCTCGCGGTTTCTTGGGAGCCACGAAAGCTCCGCGGTCCCAGCCAACGAGTCGGGTTAATCGTCCGTGAAAGAAAAATCCTGCTGAATTTTAGATCGCTTTTAACCCTAGAGCGAGATCTTTTCACCCTCATCGCCTCGAAGAGAATCTTACCCAGTATTGTGGTTATGTAAATGAGAAATAGGATGCATATGAAAATTTCAATAATGCCTTATTGATCACTTGCTGAACGTTGACTGATTTAATCGCGACAGTTACCAACTTCATTCATATATGCACTAAAAGCGGTTAATGCTTAGTCAATCATTTGTAAATCCAAAAGTCGCGATCAGAACGCGGAAATCGAGTTCCCGTCAAAGATCTCTGGAGCGAAAAAAAAGACCAGTATCGGCGTCGAAAATGTCCGAACGTTCAACGTTGCTATTTTTTCCATTTTATTTTTTTTTTTTTTCTTTTTTTTTACCACTCGCCCGGTCGAAAAACAACATCATGGAGATCCAGGTGCGACGGTGTTTGCGTTAGCCAACCGTTTCCCGGGCGGACGGACAGGCTTCGTTGTGGCCGGGCGACACTGATTGCCAATCAATATGCCCATCTCGCTGGAGTCTAATTCGGCAACAATGTTGATCAATCAGTACGCACACGGCCTGGCCGGGAAAGCCCCCCCGTTCCATTTTGCGTTCCGCCGTGTTCCGTTCGCAATCGTGCATCCGACGAACGAACAACGGACCGACCGTTCTGTATCGGACCATACAGTCGGCCATCGAGAGGAGGAGTACACTCCATCCTGCTCTCGCTCTCTCGTACGATCGTTTCCGCTTCCGGTCGTACATCGTTCGACCACCTACCACTTCAATTTCTTGCTCCGCGGTCAATGTTCCTCGCTTAACGTTTCTACCCTTCGGATTTTATAATAACTTCTAGCGATAACCTCAGAATCACCTCTTACACATTTTCTTCGCGAATTCATTTAGGACTGAAAGAGACCGAGGAAGTATTCAATTATTATTAACGAGAACAATTGTGAGTGAAATCAATTCGATTATAAGTTACGTAAAGCCGATTCGGGGGTAGTTTGGGGTTTGGGACGAAACGCGTTTCTCTCTGCACGAGCCGATAGTCGCGTTCCCTGATTGCGTCTATGTTTGTACGTTCGCGCGTTTCCACCGTGACGATCCTCTCGATTCAAGGCATCGTTCTACAAATTGAGTTGCTTGATTAGGCACATACGCGATTAGTACCCCAGGAAAATGTACGATATTATCAAGAAAATCCGTTTAGAAGTTCTGGTAGATTATCGACGGTCAAGATCGCAGGAATTGAAAAAAAAAAAAATGAATCTACGGTAAGGGTTGGCCAAGGGAATATAACGGGTTCGCGGAGTGACCCGTGGAAGATGTATACCGACCGGAAGGCATCGTACCCGGAAACCATTACTGCCCCTCTAATTTCTTTACGATCACGATGCCATTGGTCACGCTCCCACTGCGTGCCGGTGGTTTACGGCCTTAGCCTCGCGGTCGAACGGGGGATCATTCCGTGGCTTTTTTCCTACAAATTGCGGATCTTCTCCCAGATACTTTGGGACCGGTCAAGCTCAGTTATTAAAACCGAGGTATCCGTTCCCTTACCATAAAACTCCTGCGCTCGTAAATAACCCTGCCTATCTTAAATCTGGCATAAAAATGTCCCGCGAGTACTTTCGCGACACATTTCGAGGGGACAAGGAACTAACATGAATCATTATCAAAAAGCATTGGAACAAAAAACTGGGCAGATCATCGTCTTCGCTGTTCTATTGAAATGAAAATGCGCGCAAGTACATGAATCCGCGTGATGGAAAGGGATAGAAGGACAAGGAGAAAGATGACCGAGGTAGCAATGTACGATACGTCGTTGGTAGTGGCAGATAGTGGCTCGAGGCACAATGAGCCTATCAGATTATATTTCTATTTTCGACACGCAGCCTATCGGTCCAATCCCATCTCTACGGCGTGGCTACCGCGATGTCCTGCCAACACACGTCGGCGCATGTACGCGTAGTACCACGCAGTGTAAGTAGCCATGACGGAACGCACGCCAGGATGCTTCAAAGGGCTCATCTCGCGCCGCCTCGGGCCCTGACGCTGCTACCATCTCCGGATCTCCTTCAACATTCATCCAGTACGCAATCAATGCTTCGAACTTTTAGTCCCGACTCGATCAAAATTATTTACCACTAAAATGATTGCATTAGTATCATCTAGTATTCATCCTATCTAATTAAAGTGTGAATTCAGTACTTAAAAAAGATTATTCAATACGCAATAAATGCTGTAGCCTTTTCACTTTGAATAAAATCGTTTGTTGCCATCAAATGATTGAATTAGCATAATTAGATTCTTGCTAAAGCGTGAGATTGATTAGCTGAAAGCTTAAAAACGGAATAGCTGAAATGATTGTAAAAGCATTTGGAATTCCTCGGTTCGGCATATGGATGAGGGCTGGATCGGGTCCAGTAGCTTGCGGCTACTTTGAGAGCTCGCGGAACCCACCGAGAATCCTGGTGGCGAGTCGAGGCTTCTTTCTTAGCTCCCTTCGTCTTCTGACGTCTCGGATCGCGAGAACGATGGCCACGCACGCGTACATGCACGTGCACCAAGTAAGAACGAGGAGAACCGTGGTCGAGAGAGTGAGACGAGCGGAGAACTCGAACCGCTTTCCTTCCTTCGGGCGGTGCAGCTTCTCGTACTACTATATGTATACGCTCTTCGAGATCTCATCCTCGCCTCTTGCTTCATCTTCTCTTCTTCGATAGAACAAAATCCTGATTACTTAAGAGTGTCAGGCCTCATACTAATCTTAGCGCAATGTATTAAATACAAGTTCAATGCTAACTGCTTGGTAAGAGAGTACAAGACGTTCCGATGTCGTGTTGGTATCTTGAAACGTAGTTGAATGACGGTGAACAAAATCCTGATTGGTTAAAATTCATCTTAAGAGTGTTAGATCCCACATTAAACAAATTAAATATAAGTGCGGTGCTAAGAGCTGAGAGTTCCTAGAGTAAGAGAACAGCAAGGCGCTCGAACGACGCGTTGGTGGCTCGGTACGTGGCAAAGAGTCTTAGAACGTCAAGCAAGATGTTGAAACGGGGTGTACCTGGGCGACGGTGAGAGGAGTCGCGCGACTTGGCAGATGGCTGCCGAGCAGCGGATAGCTGTCGCGCTCGTTGGAGTGACGTCGAGAAAAAGGAACGAGCGAATCTCACGGCGCGGTGCGGCGGCGGTGTCGGAGAAGAAGGAAAAGCACGCCGGTTATCACGACGCGTTCGTTCGCCGAGACGCGTGTGTGCACGCACGACACTGTAAAATTACCGCGTCAAAAACAATTACGTTACAGGCGAACAATTCCGAGACAATGAAGATAACCAAAACTCGCCAAGCATCGGTTCTCGTTTTTGTTTAAATTCACCTCGTGCTCGGAATCTTCTTAGCAAACTTTGTTCCGATCGATCGTGCAAAGTTAATCATTTTGATTTCGAACCGGATCGATTGCCCGCGCGGTGTATGGGTCCATCAGAAACGATATTCGCGTGTCCGAGCCTGTAATTGCCCTGCCGGATCACGGGAGACAATAAAGCGCGTTAATGAAGGTTAAACGGTCGGTGCAGGATTGATCGTTGGAAAATGTTGGAAAAAAAGCTTCCCTTTTTACGGTGTATCGTGCAATTATCAGGGTGTATTGAGTGGCGCGCGTCGCGTCGCGTCGCGTCAAATATTCGCGGGTACGGTGATGCTGCGGAGCATAGCAGGGTACTCGATAATATCAACGATGTTGGCTCACTCGTGGGGCGGAATCAAGCGGCCCGGTGCCGCCGCCGCCGTAACGGGGACAGAAGGGGGGCAGGAGGGGGTGGGTTTGAACGACGGTGCACCGTTGTCGAGTGGAAAGGGGTCCAATCAATCAGCCGCAAATCAGTATGCACGGCACGTTCGCCTAATGCCGCCACTCTTTCATCATATTCATTTGATCGCAACCCCCTCAGCTTCTGCACGCAATCGTTAATGGCGCTGTTTAAAGATCGCTGCCGATCGATGACGAAACCCTCTCTCCCAACTCCGTACTTCTACTGGTTCGACATTAGCGGATCTGGAATCGCTAGTTGAATAGGTGTCTTCCTTCTCGATTCGACGTGGCACTAGTCGAATACAATTTAACGTGAGAATCCGCCAGAACATTGGTATCGTCGTTCGTTCTGTTAATCGTATCCGGGTAATAGAAGAAGGAACCATATCTTTGTTTTCGACGAAAAGACTGCGTGCCGTTTGGCCGAAGCGTTAAACAGATTACCGGGCAACAGACGGCGCGTTGCCAGAAGGCAAATACGTCTTTGGCTCCGACTGGCACGAGATCGAGATGGCAGCGGCCAGAGGACCCGGGCAAATACGTAATCCGGATTACGGTGGATCCGCTTAGCTTACCGGACACTTGCGCGGTGGAACGATACCGGCGCCGATACCGGCCGATGCCCCGTTTTCCCTCCTCGCGTTATCCTTCCACGACTCGAAGAACTTTTTAAGAGGATTGCTCACCTAAGCCTTCATATTTTTAACGAGCGGACCTCTCGATCGACCAAGAAAATTTAGCTCACTGCTAATCCTCGGTTACACAAGCGTCTCGTTAAAAAAAATAAAATGATGAACCGTGTGCGGTCCTCGTCCGAACTCGGCGAACGTCAATTTGGAATTGCAACAAACAAGACGCACGAAGCGACGCGACGGTCGGCTCGGAATCAGCGAGGCGTAAGTCGCGCAGGAAGCAAATAGAAAATGAGCTCGTAGGCGGGGTGAAGGGGTACGTCCAATTTAAGCCGTGCCCACAGCGCAAAAATGCTTCCGAAGGCTCAGGCCCGGTTCATTAAATGGAACCCAATAGCGGTTGTTTGCGTTGCCAGACAGCGAATCCGTCGCAAATTGAATACCATATTGCATACCGTCCGTCCGTAGCTCGTACAGAGCTCCCGCTCTGCCACCGTTGCTTCGGGGGTCTCGCCGTGAATGCGCTTGCACAGCTATTATGCTTCCAATTTAGAGAAAATTAACGGATTTAATATCCCGTCCCGAAATAAAACGGACGACCCGTCCAGACGCACCATCTATTAATATCCCTCGCTGACTCTGACGATGATCGATCGATCGACAAGTGCTCGGAACACGTTCTTTCATAAACGCGATATCGGCACGGTCTACATACATATTTAAGTGTATCGACGCGAACCGCTTGTCGGGTTAGCTTTGTATTATAATAATTAAACTTCGCGTTGCAAAATGTCAATCATCCCGTACGGTAATCGGAGGAGGTTGACATTAAAAGTGAAATTCGAACACGGCTATGTTTCGCGATATCCATCCGAGGTGCATAGCGTGCACAGTTAAAACACAATTACCGGGGACACCCCCGTGCATCAACCCCCGAACAGACCGCGGTCGTACCGCGCTGTCAAAATAGATAACGCTCCGGGTAAGTCACCCCGAAGTTAAAACCCGTCCCTGCACTCGCTATAGGTCCATTCACTTTGGGTTAACGTCGACAAAGGTTGCGCGCGCGCGCGCGCGCTCGCCACCGGTAACGAGGGGAAAGAGGAGTACACCATGATACGCCCCGTGTGCGCGTTTTCCTACTCGTCGGCGACGTTACGGGGTTGATATTGCCAGCCGGGGTTGCCGGTGACGTCACGCTTCATTAACATAAACGATTTGTTACTTTTCTATCGTTTAACTCTGAATTCAACACTTGCCTGCAAAGTGAAAAAAGATGGAAATTATGTATATTCTTTTTAATTGTATTCGAAACGGTACTGATGGAACATATGCGATTTACATGAGATTTTTCAATTGTGTTCGAAATAAGCTGATGCATCAGCGATCCTTTTCTGGATTTACCGGCGCAGCAACTACTCTGTGACGTTGCGGTACGCGTGCGTGGTTTAAACGAATTATGCAGCCATCCTTTATTGCCTCGTCTTTCGGTAAGAGCACTCAATCCCGATTTACAGCACGCAACACCGTCGTACTACACTGTTTCGCACACGCATTCTGGCAAATCAGCTCCCACGTGCCGTAAAACTCGAACGCCGTCGTTAAACGAATCTCGATACAGATAGAATACGATAAGGCGGCGCAATTACTCGTTCTTTAAACCGCAAACGATTTGCAACGAAAAGACTGGCAATCTGTGCTTTCTTAATAGGAACGGAGTTTTAGAGGTAGTAAAAACATTATGAAGTCTTTGATAAGAGTTGTTTTAGGTTCTGTGATGGAATAAGGTAAAAAAGAATGCATACCGTTTAGCCGCTTCAACAATAACATTTGCATATAAAGGATTTTATAGGACATTATGAAAACTTGTAGAATGATTATTAAATCAAGTTGGTGTAAAGATTTTCCATTCGGAAACGATATTTTCCAAGCATCGGCAATTTCCTTGGGTGGAATCCGCGTCGGCCGACAGACAAAGCCCCTCGAAGGTACTCGCGCGCGATCGAGAATCGTGTTACGAGGAACACGCGTACCGGGACCGGGTGTCGTCGTCGTCGTATCGAGGCATCGCGGGGATCCCATGCATTCCGCGATCTTGCATTACAATTGCTAATAAACACCCTCCCGTTCTACCGGTTCCTCCTTCGATTTCGCCTTCTACGTGCCTCCGTTCCATCCTCTCTGTTGGGATGGTATTCGACCACCAGAATCCGGGAGAAACAGTGCTTCTCGATAGTGGACGCGAGAGAGGGAGTTGGAAAGAGTGAGAGACCTAGATAAGCGCACCGCGGAAGGAAGTTTGAACAGGGTAGGGGCAACTTTGTCTCGTTGGTAGGTACTTTTGCATTTGAAAGCGGTAATTTATGCACGCGTCGAAGTGAAACGGTATGCAACGTGGATAGAGAGGGTGGAAACGAAACCGTAAAAGCCGGAGAAAGGAAGAGGAACGTTATTATAATGGATATGTTAGTATGCAAACTCTGTCTTTCATACCTTTGCTGCAGTCTCCGCAGCAGTGGTCAGTTTCTCAGACGCGTGCACCAAGGGAATATATCTTCCAGAGCTGCAATTGGCGATTGCATGTTACATTATTCTGAATTGATTCAGCTTTTCTGTATGGAGTCAAATCTGAAGTATCGTTCCATGAACGATAGGCGAGTCAGAATTCTTTCGATCCTTCCGTGTCTGTCGTAAATACTTAGGATGGACTGATAGTCTCTCGATTGGAGCGAACATGATCGCCAGCCGATGAGAACAAATGTACGTCCCTGGGGCCCCGCGAGCGAAACGTCTGATGGTGCGCGAGGGGGGTTTCAGAGTCGGTGGCGGTGTCGGTAGCGATGTCGGTTCTCTCTCTGTCTGTTCGTCGACGGTGGGGGCGGTGGAGAGGTGTACAGGATCGGCTCGGTGAACGGATCGAGAGGGGAGCGGGCGCGGGAGGCACGAGGGAACGGCAACGAGGTAGGGGCGGCGGTGGCAGGGGTGTAACTACTTACCATACTCCCAGTATACCAAAGTCCCGCGGCCGACTCGCTCCGCGGCAGATAGCAGTCGCCGGCATGCCACGCTTCTCACCGCCGCTCGGGGAAACGGAGGAAAGGCCCGGTTCCCTCGCGCGAAAATCACGGAAAAATCATCGCGCGGACCGTCGCGTCGTATCGGCGAGAACCTCGGTAATCGTGCGTATTTGTGGTTTCCAGCGCCGAGGAGGAGGAAGAGGATCGACGGGACCAGCGGGACCACGACGCGGGTTTCGTGCGGTTCCGGTCACGTCGGTCACGTGGTCGCTGATCCTCCCGCCTGCCGTGAACCACCGCCAGACCCCTAAGACAGCTTTCCCACCGAGGAGGGGGAGCATGAACGGAGAACGAGTGGGGGCGGATCGGCGGAGAAGGGAGGAGAAAGAGGAAAGGATGTTGCGTCGATAACGACCACGTGGGGTAAGTCATTGTACGAACAAATGCTCCTTTCGATCAACCCTTTAGACAAAACATCAAGCAAACTTTCTATATAATAAACTTGCAAAACATTTGTATTCTATTTTTCAAATACTTTTCCAAGGGGTTGATCCTTGGTGATGGTATTTAGAGGAAGAATTATGTAAACCACCTTTCTGATCCGTAAATCAGTTGGCAAATCTTAACCAGGAATCGGTTAATCTCGGGAAACAAACGAGCTCGTAGATTAAGTATGCGAGCAACAATATGCGAGCCGCAGGCAACTATTTCTCGCCGTTTGGCAGCGTCTGCTTCGTCCGCGATCAGACTTAAATCTTCTTACTTGGCACGCGGGCTAATTGGTCGTATCTCGCGCTAGCCGACGTGGTTTATCACTCGCCGTTCGTTGAAAACCGCTCTCGTTTCAACGGGCCATTTAACGCGACGCAAAACGACTTTACTTCTGCCTCACGTGACATTCTGCCACGTGCTACTCGACTTTTCTGCCAATTTCAACTTCAACCTCGATAGACTGCTATTTTTTATACAAATTAATTCTATCCTATAACTCTCAAAATGTAGGCATTGCAATATGCACTCAGCTTCATTTTCATACTTGTACTATATGTGCGCATTGAATTTTTTTATAAATTCGTAGAACGTAATGATTAGGAGAAGGCTTAGTTTTCGATGGTAATCGTTTAGAATTTTTCCGCGCAATCGGGTAGCGTGACCGATCGATCGACTTCGGCACACGTGTACGGTTGGGAAGCGATTTTAACGCAAAACCAATCGACGACACCCAGGGCGACACCGTAGGCCGCGAGGGTATAACTTTATCCTCGCTTAATCGCCTTTTCGATAGGTACGAGCCGATCCCTTTGTTCAGACAATATCTCCACCCTGTCCCCGCTAATGTATGCACCGTGGCTCTCGCCCCCTCGCACCCCGCTCGTTTCTCGCGCGATGACTCCCGGGCTCCTAACTCCGCGCAACGAAACCCGTGCCGAGGGAGAGACCTCGTACTCGTTCGCCTTTATTGAATTTTGGGACCGTTCCAGTTGGAAGAATGGGAGACGGAGAAAGAGGAACGAGCGAGAGCAACGAAGGGCGGAGTGACTCTAGCCGGAATTAATTCTCAGCCCGGTGCATTGCTTTTTACGATATAACTGCGGTTTGTTAGTCGTTATTCACCGTCCGAATTGAATTTCCTGTCCAGCGCGGGACGGCAATTGCGCGGCAATTCCTTTTTTCAAGCGTTTGTTAAGCTGCATTCGAAGAGTCGAAATTCCGTTCGTTTTACAACTTTCAATATACGTGCTGCTTCTAATCGCGTATATCCGGGAAGGGTTGTCCTCGGTCGAGATGATTAAAGTAGTTTCGGTCGCGCTACGCGATGTCGGAAACTCAACGAAACCGGAGGGAGGACGAAGGAACGGCGAAGACGGGTGGGAAGGAAGAGGGACAGTCGGGTTGACAGGACACAATATTGCAATAACTTCAATTACGGCGACACGACGCGACGGATTGCCGTGGGGTGAGCTCGGGTCCATTTGTATAGAAGTGACACAGACGTCGCGGTCGAATTGGCTGTCGGATCCGAAATGGGGCTACCTTTAAACAAGTGCTTCTTAATAAACCATTGACGCGCGAAACCACCCTCGAAAATTTGCCCCTTGGCGGTCTCTCGCCACCCTTCTGCGGCTCGTCCGTCCCACTCCGGGGAATCTAGTCACCAGTTACTTCGTTAAACT